CATGAGTTTCTGACTCCTTTTTTTTCCAGGTTACACCATATTTTTTGTATTCATGGCTACCCTGTCAGGTCTGACTTTCATAATTACTGTGATCTTCTAATCTACTCTTAAAAAAATAATTTTGCTAATAACAAAATTCAGATTTTTAAATACTATTGTGAATTTTTTTAAATCAACTGAATCTTAGTAAAATTTGCTTGTTTATTTCAGGAAGCTATGATAAATTATATTGCACTTGCTAAGATATGTCATTATTAGTTACACCACAACTGAGAAAATTAAAGGTTTATTATTGTCTCACATCAGTTATTTTCTATCAATCAGCATAAAATAAAAATTTTTTTATAAAAGTATACGTACCAGTTTGATAAAAGTTTATATAAAAATACATAAAAAGTGAGTAAATTTAGGTGAGCTGAATATTCAGACCTCACCCTGTTTATCAAATTATTATTTTTTGCCTTAAAAGTTCAAATAACATGATAATTTTTTTTGTGTAAAACACAATTATCTTAAATGGCACAAATCATGTTTAGCATAACAAAAATAAAACAGCATAAACACTTACATTTTTAAATAAATTGTAAATTAAAATAGATATTTTGGGATGAAAAATATATTAAAATAAAATTAAAATTCATGTCCAGCTACATTTCAAACTTTCTGGCATATGAAACTCCCATTTCTTGATTGATATTAAAAAGTCCATATGCAGTGACATGAGCAACAGAGCCCCAACTTACCTTGTTCATACTCCTCTGGTGATTCTTACAAATATAGCAAGACAAGGCCTGGCCAAGAGTACCTACTTTCTTTGTACTGAAATGCTATTTTAGAAACAAACTTTGATAAAAAGTTAAAAGTTATTGTTTTAAAAAACAAGACGAATAACTACTTGTTTCTTCATCCTTCTGCTTTGCTATAAAAAATTACATATAGTGTGTGATGGCATCAGTGGCAGGATCATCAAATGTGAGAATTTGATCATTCTATTAAAGTCGTATCATCATTCTCAACTACAAAGATTTAAAAACATCTATCAGAAATTTAGCTGAGAGATACAATGCTGAAAACAAAAAGTTTTAAGGAGAAATTTGATTTAGAAAAATGTGCATTCATTGCTTACCAGTTTTATCTTCAATGCACTCCTGCATAAAATAAATGTATTTTTAATGATTTATATTCTAAACTATGGTCCTTAATGTTTGTGCTTAATCTTTCCTACCTATGTTCCAATTTCAATTACTCTCTTATCAATCCTCTCCATTAGAATTTGTTTCTCTTTGTACAGTAGAATGCCAATTTATTTTTAGGAAAAGCATATTAAAATACTTCTAACTTCTCAAAATATTTTCTGTACACAGCTTTAGACATCTTTTGATTAACTTTTGTAATTCTGACTTGGCAACACATTTTGTGCAACTAATGATGCTTATTCATTCTGTAATAATATGTAGAATAAATATATATTCATTGAAAAATCCTATAATGCGGTTACACAACAAGTCCTTTTGAAAATTTGGAATTTTTATAAATAATGGGTTGGAAGTTGTG